CCCCAGGCAAAAGAAAATGCCCCGGCCCAAAATAATCCTTTTTTGTCTTTTGCTAATAACTTCCTTGCCCCATCCTTCTGCCTATAAAAACTTTCCATTTTGTATAAGTCCTAGTAGTATCTCTTGGCTTGCTAGAGGAGATGCTGCCTGATTCATGAATTGTTTAATAAAGCCAGTTAGATCTTCAAATTTACTTGGTTGAATTTTGTTTTTTAACAGTGTTTTAATCCTTATACTTTTATAGTATGTTTTGATCTTTGGTCCCTACTTCCTGAAACACACCCTTTTCTTGGCCTCTGTGACCTGACCTTGTCTATTCCACCCCCCACTCCCCCCATATGTCTATTTTTCTTTATACTTCTCTAGCTACTCCTTAGTCTCCTGCACAGGTTTTTCTCTCTGCTCATCCTTTAAACATTAGTGTCTTCAGGAACCTAGCTCATCCTCATTCTACACACCCTCCTGGATGATCTTATCCACTCCCATGTTGATGACTCTCAAATACATATCTTTATTCCTAGTGGTGTTCCTAAATATCCTAAAAATGGAATAACAAACTCAACCTATCAAAAACTGAACTTATCTTTTCTCCTTACCTACACGCCAATAAACCTAGTCCACCTCTAGTATTCTCTCCTTCATTGAATGGCACAACTCGCCATAGAGTTGCTGAAGTCAAAAACCTGCTTGTCTTCTTGGCAGTCTCTCTCTATTTTTCCTCTTCTTCCTAGAATCAACCACCAAGTCATGCTCCTTGGACCTCCTAAATATCTCTAGGGTTCACCAGTTCTCTCCACCCCACTGTGACTACCCTAGTTCAGGCCTCTTTCACCACTCACTTGGGTAATTGCAGTAGCTAGTTCTAACTGGTATCCCTGCCTCCTCTTTTACTCTCCCTGTAATCTAATCTCTACACTGCAGCAGGTGTAGAGATTAAATTTATAAAATGTAAATTTAATCATGTCACTCTCCTACTTAAACCTTTCAAAGCTTCCCCATCCCCCTACAGGATCAAGTTCAAATTCTTTAAGATGGCTTATAAAGCCTTGCCTTGATCTGGCTCCTGTTTGTCCACCACAGCTTTTTTTTTTTTTTTAAAGATTTTATTTATTTTATTTTTTCCCCCCAAAGCCCCAGTGGATAGTTGTATGTCATAGCTGCACATCCTTCTAGTTGCTGTATGTGGGACTCGGCCTCAGGATGAACGGAGAAGCGGTGCCTCGATGCGCACCCGGGATCTGAACCCGGGCCACCAGCATCGCAGCGCACGCACTTAACCGCCAAGCCACAGGGCGGGCCCTCCACCACAGCTTTAACTCTCTATAATCTGAACTCTTTTCATTCCTTGAATAGAGGATGCTCTTGTCTCTCGACGTCTCCAATACCTCCAGGCCTTCCTCTTTACCTTTACTCATCCTACAGGTCACAGTTTCTTGGGCACATTTGCTCTGGGACCACCGCTTGCTCCCACTCTGTCTAGGTTCGGCGTCCCGGTTCTTCACGTCCACCGCCCATGCACACCCCACTGTATAATTCATCACATTGTATTGTATCTATAGGCAGTGAACCCCTTGAGGACAGCGCCTGCCCCTGGCTTGTCTGCTGCAGTCTCCAGCACCTAGGACAGGGCCTGGCACGAAGTATGTGCACAGTGAATAGCGAACGGAGGAGAGAACGCACGCGTGAGGGGGGGTGTCCGCTGGAAGGCAGCGCTCAGTGGCTGAGAGCGCGTGGGCTCCCTGTCGAGAAAGCGCTCGGTGTTCCCGTGCCAGCGCGTCGAGGAGGGAGCATAAGGTTCAAATCGTAACCCAGCCCAGCCTCCACCACACTGCGGCGGAGCCACGCCCCCTTCCGGCCCCGCGGAGCCGGAAGTGGAGGCGCGGGCTTCCCATGATACCCCGCGGGGCGCATATTCAAACCGCACGGAGAGGAGGGAGGAGGTCGTGATGGCGGCCCCAGAGCCGGAAGTGCTGTCTCAGGCAGCAGTCCCTGGTAAGGCCTGGGATCCCGAGCTCGGGGATCCTTGGCGACCTGTTTCGTCCCTGCTGCCGCTCTCTTTGGTCACTTAACCCTTTGCTGTTTTCTGGCCCGTCTTCCTTGTCCCCATTCGCGGCGTCCCTCCCGGCTCTGGCTGGGCCCCAGTGACTCCATCGCCCCCACCCTGTCTTCGTCTCGGCGGCGTTCTGGACTCCGCTGGACTACACTGTCTTTCAGCTCGTTTCCCCAGATCAGGGCCTCCGCTTTCTGAGCGGAGACCCAGTCGCTGCCTCCGAAATTCCCCCCTACCCCATTATCTGGCGGTCACTTAAATCTCCGTAGGCGACTGGGATCGGGAATCTCCCCACCGTCGCCCACGCAGGAATTTGCGGAGGGAATGTGCTTGTGTCCACCACTCCGCAGTGGTGGCTGATGTGGCCACAAGGGAATGAGAAACCCGACTTTGGTCTTTTAAGTTTTTCATTTTTCTCTCTTGTCCCTCTGTGCACCTGCTAGATTTAGAGTGGTGTGAGAAGTCGGAGGAAACCCACGCCCCCCAAATAGAACTACTTGAGACCACCTCTGCTCAGCAACCTCCTAACCCTTCGGAGCCCTTTTGCCCCAGAGACTGCATGGTGCCAGTGGTGTTTCCCGGTCCTGTGAGCCAGGAAGGCTGCTGTCGGTTTACTTGTGAACTTCTGAAGCATATCATGTACCAACGGCAGCAACTCCCTCTGCCCTATGAACAGCTTAAGCACTTCTACCGAAAACCTTCTCTCCAGGTAGGCACATGTGGGGAGACTTTGTGGCTATTAGATGGTAGCCTGGTAAAAAGGGGATCTAAGGGATTCTTCCGGGGCTGTCGGCCTAAGCTCTAGGGAATGTGTTTCAGCCCCATGGCTTCAGTCACCTTCTCCCCACTCTAGTCTTCGATAGTCTAACCTTCCTGGCTTATTCTCTTTTTTTTCTGAAACCCCTATTGTGTGTTGCATTTGGACTTCATGAACTGACCCTGTAAGTTTAGTCTCTTTTCTCTCCAAATTTTCATCTCTCTGTTTTTATGTTATACTTTGTGGCAGACTTCCTTGACTTTATATTTTATGTTCTAACACTTGTATTCATTTTTTCTCTTTTTGAGGGCAATCATAGTCTTAAGAGCTCATTCTTAAGTTTTGGGCGTACCTTTTTTTCTTTCTTTCTTTTTTTTTGTGAGGAAGATCAGCCCTGAGCTAACATCCATGCTAATCCTCCTCTTTTTGCTGAGACCCTGAGCTAACGTCTATTGCCAATCCTCCTCCTTTTTTTTCTTTTCCCCTTTTTCTCCCCAAAGCCCCAGTAGATAGTTGTATGTCATAGCTGCACATCCTTCTAGTTGCCGTATGTGGGACGCGGCCTCAGCATGGCCGGACAAGCGGTGCGTCGGTGCGCGCCCGGGATCCGAACCCGGGGCCGCCAGTAGCGGAGCGCGCGCACTTAACCGCTAAGCCACAGGGCTGGCCCTGCGTGTACCTTTTTAATGGCATCCTGTTGTTTCATGTCTGTATGAACTTCTCTTACCTGAGGATATTAATTATTGTATTTTTGAAGTTTCCTTCTGTTCCTTGCACTGTCTCAGTTTCTACCAGATTTCTTTTTCTGTTCGTTTTGCTCTCTGACTTTAATGTTAGAGGCTTTTATTCTGTGTCTGGTAAATATTTAAGAATAAGTCATTGAAGACTGTGTGCGTGGCTGGGCCTGTGAGCGGATAGACTTTGCTCTAAGAATATTGGGTGGGAATCTAGTGATCTCCTTGGGGGACTTCCAAAACGTCAGTGTTGGAAAGTCTTCTCTCTGGGGGGAGAAAATTGGCACAGGTTTTCACACAGTCCCCCTGTGTTCACTCTTGCCTTCTGTGTCTAAATTGCCAATTCCTGAGCCTTTCTGGGGTTCTGCAGTTTCAATCAGTTTGTTTCTCATGGGGGTCCCTTCTGTCAGCACTTGGTATTCAGCTCTTTTGAACTCTTCCATCTGCTCTCTCTTCCAAAAATTTGTTATTGTCTTCGGCCACTGTCGTCTATTCTCCGGTTCTCTTTGTTGTTTGGAGTTCTCTTTCTCTCTCCTCCCCCCCCTTCCTTCTTTCCTTTCTTCCTCCCTTGCTTCCTCTCTCATTTAGTAGTGTTTCAAATGGGATCACAAATAAGCATGTATTCAATTTGCCTTGTTTAACTGGAAGACCAATTCCAGAATCCCCTTTATTAAACCAAATTATCCTCATTCTTGTTATGCTTCCAGCACAGCAAAACTTTGCCGCCTGCCATGCTACCAAATCTCCTTGACTATTTTAGTTGCTTATTTCTGGATGCCTTCCTGCTTCAGAACACTGTCTTTGCTGTTCTAAGCATGGGAGAATTATAGTTTGGTAAAAAGAATATATTTTCCTTTTTGATATATTGCCCTCTGATAAAACTCAACGTCTTAGCCATGGAAATTCAGTCTTATATGTCTACTGCATCCCAACAGGATTCTTCAAAGGGCATTAGCTTCTCCCTCCCCTGTCCTGCTCTCTCACTATTCTGTGTCCTCATAGGCGGAGGACGTGGTAAAGAAGAAACCTCGAGCCACTGCTGAGGTGAACAGCAGGAAATGCCAACAAGCCCTGGCAGAACTGGAGAGTGTCCTCGGCCACCTAGAGGGTCTCTTTGCCCGGACACTAGTACCACGAGTGCTTATCCTCCTTGGTGGCAGTGTTGTAAGTCCCAAGGAGTTCTACGAGCTTGACTTGTCCCGCTTGGCCCCCAACAGCATGGACCAGAGCCTGAGTACAGCGGCTTGTTTGCGTCGTCTCTTCCGAGCTATTTTCATGGCTGATGCCTTCAGTGAGCTGCAGGCTCCTCCACTCATGGGCACCATCGTCATGGCACAGGGGCATCGCGACTGTGGGGAAGATTGGTTTCGACCCAAGCTCAACTACCGAGTGCCCAGCCGGGGCCATAAACTGACTGTGACCCTGTCCTGTGGCAGACCCTCTATCCCAACCACGGCCTGGGAGGATTACATTTGGTTCCAGGCACCAGTGACACTTAAAGGCTTCCATGAGTGAATGGGGGTACTTCTTAACCGTGAACACAATGGCTAAATTATTTTTCCCCCTGTGGCTATGTGTCACCCATCTCTTGCTTGGAGCTAGAGTTGCTTCCAGGTGAGAGGAAGGGTCTGTCTTTCTGGCTGCCTGCCTGCCTGCCTGCCCTCCTCAGACTTCCTGGTGGGTTGATGGTATGGCTGTGGCTGTAATAATCATCATTGAACAACATCTCTTTGAATCCAAGGTTGATTTTCCTAGAGGGTGCTGGGTCAGGCATTTCTGTTTGGGGTTGGAAAGCAAACTTGGGCCCGTAGACAGATACTCCTGTGGGAGTAGCCCTTTTCTGCTTTTTGCTGTGGCCTTCCAGAATTTTTACCAGGGACATAATAATGTGGGTGTGACTCATGAACTTAAATATAAAATGAATGAATTCATATTAAATTTTCCTGAAACTCTTTTGGCTTACAGAGACTTTTCAGGCTTGAGGCTAGAGTATTTTGTTTTTCTCCTTGGCCTCTTATGCTTCAGGACTTCCAGGATTTTTTTACTAATGGCTCTTTCTCTTCATCAGCTCCAGGCCAGTCTGGGAGGTTAAGTGACTTGGCCAAGGTTCTATAATGATTTGATATCAGAGTTGGGACTAGGGTCCTCAGCAGCTAACTCCTAGCCGGATGTTCTTTCCTTGCCACATACTGGTTTTTGTGACCGTTAAAATATATGTGCCCAAAGCAGAGGTCACACAGGGGAAGAGGCTGAGAGACTGGGCTGAGAAAAGAAAACTGAGAGGGTCTTTGCAAAGCCTGATTGAGCTGTAGGCTAAGGCCCCAGGACTGCCCTGTCGGATCAGCTCCCTGAGGCCAAACGTCCGTCCTGGAGTTCTGCCCAGCCTGTCTCCATTACGGTTGTCTGGCAGCTGCTGGCAGTTCCTGTTGGCAGTGTTGTCCTTAGGCAAACCCTGCCCTCCTGCCTGTGGCGCTTCCTCCTCAGCTGCCCTCTGACGTGGCTGTCCTGATCCTTGCTGTTATCTTTTCTTGCTTGATGCTGTCCTCACTGCTAAGCATCGATGCTTTGTCTCTGAGAACACCTGCTTATTTCTTGGAAACAATTTGAAGACAGAATCCTTACCCTGCTAGTGTTGGAGGTGTGTGTGTGTGTGTGTGTGTGTAAACGAGGACAATATAAATATAGGCTTTTTTTATGTTTTAAGAAGAAGGAATGAATATTTTGTGTTTTGTTAAAACATAAAAATAGTTTATATTTTATACTATGTTTTAAGCACTTTACATACATTATCTAATTTAACCTTACAAAGTACGTATTATTGTTCCCACTTTGTAGATAAGGTTTGGGGAGATTGAATAACTTGCCTAAGTGGTGAAACCTGGATTCAAACCCAGTATGCCTGGCTTCAGAGGCTGAGTGCTTCACACTGTGCTGTACACCCTGTGTGGTTTTACTCTGAAATAATGCAACTCTGCCAAAGGTGGTAGCATTGGAAAGCTGCAGCACTCCCCTCTCTGGCTTCAGATTGTGGTTCCTGATATGGGACCTGACATTAAAAGATGCTGAGTAAATACGGAATCAGTGAAAACAAAAGGTTTGGGTTCTTTTCTGTGCCGTGACCACTTAAAGCATATTCTATCAGCTAGAATTTCTGCTATTTTTATGTCTGATGATATTACCTTACAGAAGAGGAATAGGGCCATGTCTCCCATTGGGAAGGGACAGGCTGAGGGGTCTGACTAAGGGGATGGAGAGCTTTGAACGAGGGAGTTATAAATTGTTTAAGAAGGAAGACATATTAAGCCAAGTCAGCTGCCTCAAATACTACTTCTAAAAGCCTTCATAAACAATGCCTAGACAATCAAAACAAAGTAATTAGCTTGGTAATTTAGACACTGAGTTCTCTATTGGCTTGGCATTGGGGCCCAGATCATTCTGATTTCATGAGTCCTCTCCAAAGGAATCCAGAAATTAAAAGATCAGGTAATAATATTAACAATAAATCCCATCTCCTTCCCTGACAACAAGCTTGCTGAGGTACCTGTTTATCAGTTGGACCTTGGCTGGGGACTCCAGAGGTGGATGTGAAAAAGTAGTCTCTAGCCCAGGGGGTGAAGAGCCCCAGCTGCAGTGGGGTTCTGGTCTTTCATTTGTTGCTAACATTTGGGCCTAAAAGCAACGGTGGGGAGCCCAAGGTAGGTAAATGTAGGTGGTGGTTGATGGGAAAGTGTAGTCTGTACATGTCACCCTTTTTGTACCTCTCTTCACACCCTGCTTTCCCAAGGTGTGGCTCTATACCTTGCCCCACTGCCTAGGTCTCCATTTGCCACTTTGGTGGAATAGTCCTATGGAAGGGTAAATAAAGAGACATCTGGTGAAGACTGAAGAAAGTGGAATGGATGGACCCCATTCTGTAAGACCTCAAAGGGGGATTAATTATCTTAGAATCCTAGACTTTTAGAGCAAAGAGGATCTCAGACTCTTTTCTTCACAGATAAATCTGAGTCCAAGAAGGGACACGACTGCAGTGAAATAATACAGCTAGTGTCACTATTGTTTGTCTTCCCAAGCTCCCCTGCATATATGGTGAGGACTCAATAAATGTCAGCTATGTGGAAGGGCTCAGGAAAGGCAAAAATACAGTAGTTTCCCTTATCTGCGGTTTTGCTTTCTGCTGTTTCAGTTACCGGTGGTGGTCAGTTGCAAAGCAAATGAATCTGTCCTCAGGTCAGTAGTAGCCTGACGCTACTTTACAATGCCCACCTCATTCCCCTCACTTCCTCCCATCATGTAGGCATTGTATCATCTCAAATCATCATAAAAAGTGTGAGTACAGTACAGTTAGATATTTTGAGAGCGAGATACCACCCATTTACATAACTTTTTTACAGTATATTGTTATGATTGTTCTATTTTATTTGTTTTTTGTTAATCTCTGTAATTTATTTATTATTTATTTTTTTTGTGAGGAAGATCAGCCCTGAGCTAACATCTGCCAATCCTCCTCATTTTGCTGAGGAAGACCGGCCCTGAGCTAACATCGGTGCTCATCTTCCTCCACTTTATATGGGACACCGCCACAGCATGGCCTGAGAAGCGGTGCGCCCCCGGGATCCCAATCGGCCAACCCCAGGCCCCCACAGCCGAACGCATGCCCTTAACCGCTTGCGCCAATAGGCCAGCTCCTCTGTGTGTAATTTATAAAACTTTATCTTAGGTATGTATGTATATGAAAAATCATAGTATATCTAGGATTGGGTACTATCCGTGGTTTCAGGCATCCACTGGGGGTCTCAAGGATAAGGGAGTTGGAACCTCCAACCCCTCGCTGTAGCCTGTCTCTGTTGGGGAAATCGCCCTGTTGCCGTGACAACTGAACATATCCGGTCTCCAACTCCGGAAAGGAAGAGAGCGGGAACTAGTATATGTATGCCCAGGCTTTTTGGAAAGGCTCCTTGAGGAGAAGGGCTGGCCAGACGACCCGAGAGGGCTGGGCCAGAGGCGGTCAGGTGGGTGGAATCCTGCTCCCTGTCTGGCGGAAGGGCGGAGCTTTGGGTTTCCATGGAGCCGGCTTCTCCTAGCAACCTGGCGGGCGTTGAGCAGAGCCGCCGGGGCGATGGACGCCGAGAGCCTTCTGCTGTCTCTGGAGCTGGCGTCCGGCAGTGGGCAGGGCCTCAGTCCGGACCGTCGGGCCTCACTGCTTACTTCCCTGATGCTGGTTAAGCGCGACTACCGCTACAATCGGGTCCTCTTCTGGGGCCGCATCCTCGGCCTCGTCGCCGATTACTACATCGCGCAGGGCCTGAGCGAGGACCAGCTCGCACCGCGCAAGACACTCTACAGGTGGAGGCGGCGCCCGGGGGCCGAGGCCGCAGCGGGATGCTGAAGGGAGGGTCGGGGGGGCCGGGAGGGGCGGTGCCTACGGGGTGGAAGACGCGGGTTGACAGGGTCCGAGGAGGAGGGAATGGGGAGGGGCCTGAGAGGCGCGGCCCGGGACCGAACGAGCAGTTTGAGGATTAAGCGGGACCCGAGTACAGAGCTAGCCTGAGGGGGCGGGGAAATGGTGGGCGGGGTCCAAGAGGGCGGGGCCCTGGGAGGCCACGCTCCAGGCGTAGGGGGCGGGGTGCAAGAGAAACTTAGAGGCCGGTGGGTTTATAATAGAGGCACAGTCAGGAACAGAGGCGGAGCAAGGTGAAAGTTCCTGGAGAATGGAGACCTGGAGTAGAAGCCAGGCGTAAGCCAGAGCCCGGCCTGGCATTCTGAAGAGCTCAAGTTGGAGAAGGGTCAGAGAAGCCCCTGGGGGTGGTGCGGTGCTGTTTGGAAGCGGGTCCAGAAGCATCTTCGATGGAGTTGTTGGCTGTTGGCTCACAGCAGGAGGCGCTTTAGGAAGCAGTGAACGAACGCGGAATGAGAGAGAAGGGATGTAGAACTGGAGGAAATTCCCTGGACAGTACCATACAGGACCATCCTGCTTCTTTTTGACTACCCCCAGCGATGACGGGGAGCTCAGCATCTTACAAAGCAGTCCCTTCGGGCCACAGGGAGATGGATACTTCATTTATCTATCCATGCATCAATCCAACATTGGTTGGATGCATCCTGTGCTAGACTTTGCTTACAAAGATGTTGCTAAGACTCACCCCGTCTCCAAGTTATTCACATCTTGAGGAGGGAGACGGATGCGTAACCCAGTAATTACAGCAATAATGTGTTAAAACTAGAACAGAGTTGTATACAAAGGGAGACCAAAGCGGGGCATTCTTCTAGCGAGGAATTAAATAAGATTACTAAGGGAGTAACTTCGTTGAGATCTGAACGATGATCAGGAGTTCTCCAGGAAGATGTGAGGGAAAGGCGTGCCAATTAGAGGGAACAGTTATGCAAACTTGTTGGCTGGAGCTGGCTTGGGGTGTTTGGGAGAACAGCAGTGGCAGCCTCATGTGTTATATAGAACTGGATGGAGAAGCCAAGGGGTTTGAACTTTGTCTGTAGGCTGTGGGGAGCCATTGAGGAGCTTTAAGCAAGAAAAGCCTGCTCAGATCTGAGTGGGCAGGATGGCCTGGAAGTGGGTGAGCATTTAGGAGTCTCTTGCAGTGTCCAGATGAGGGGGACTGGAAGGAAGAGGTAGCTGAGGGAATGGAGGGGAGAGGATAGGTTGGAAAGATTTAAGTGATAGAACTGGCAGGACTTGTGACTGATTGAATGGGGGAAAGGTGAGGAAGAGGTCAAAGTTGACCTCTTCTTCCAGCTTAGGCAGCTGGGTGGGTGCTGGCACCACTCACTGGGAGAGGATTCGGGGAACAGGACTAGGGAAGACCTAGTGAATCTGGCATGAGGTGCCTGTGGGGCAGGGTGATAAGGAGGCATATTCAAGTACAGATCTGTAGTCCAGAAGAAACATTTAGACTGAAGATAGTGATTTGGGACTCATTTTATTTTTTTCCCATAAGTTTTTGTTTCTTCAGCACCTGCTATGTGCCAGGCATTGGTCTAGGTGCCAGGAATTCAATGGTAAATGAGACAACGCCCTTGTCTTCATGAAGCTTACATTGTAGTATGTGTGTAAGGGGAGGGGAGACAGACAATAAATAAACACGCTCATGTATTACATGCCAGCTGGTGCTAAGTGCCAAGGGGGAGAGAGAACACAGGATGGGGCCCTATTTGGTGGTGAGGGATGGCCTCTCTGATAAGGTAACCATTGAGAAGAGACCAGAGGCAACTGAGAGAATGAGCTATATATTTATCGGAGAAAAGAGAATTCCAGGCAAGTGCAAAGGCCCTGAGGCAGACATGTGCCTAGGGTGTTTGTGAAGCCCCAGAGAGTCTAGTGTGGCTAGAGAGGAATGAGTGAGGGGGAGCATTGTAGGACATGGGGTCAGAGAGGTAAGGGACCGGACACAATCACGCAGGGCTTCGTGGGGCATTGGAAATAGTTGGTTTAATGGGAAGTCATTGGAAGTTTCTGCACAGAGACATGATCTGGCTTAGGTTTTAACAGTTGGGTGGGAACTAGACTGAAAAGGGAGCAGGTCTGGAAGTGGGGAGACCGGTTAGGAGGCTATTGCAATATCTAGGCAAGAGTAGATGATAGCTTGGACCAGGGAGGAAGCAGTGGAGGTGGATGGATTCTGGACACCGACTAGGCAGTAGCTGGGGCTCTGTGAGTGAGTGGCTGAGTCAGGTGGGTGAGACTGCAGAGAGAAAAGAGGGGTGAGGATAGATCCCTGCAAATACTTAGGACACTGGAGGAGGGAGAGGGAGGTGTCACAGGAAATAGAAATGGAAATGCATCTGTTGGCTTTTAGGTCCCATGGATGACTTTCTCCTAAGCAGTCTCTTGGGTGGTGGGGGCAGAATCACGGTGCAGTGGGCAAAGAGTGAAAGCAAGGGGGAGGAAGGGCTCCCATAGGGCAAATCATTGTTCTGAGGTTGTTGTTCAGAGTTCGGGAAGACGAGGGAGGGACAGGAAAAGGGCATTTTCTGGAGAGGAATAGATTTGAGGGCTATTGTTTTAGAAAGCTGAAAAGTTTTTATGTTGAGAAGGAGCCAGTGGAGAATGAAGGGTGAAAAGATGAGCAGAGACTGGGCTGGGGACACAGGTCCTGAGTGGATTAGAGAGGAGTGGGAGGACATCCTCTCCTGGCAGGAAGTGAGAAAGAAGGGACCAGGCTGGCGAGTGCTCCTGGAGACCTCAGAGGAGGGGAGGTCCTTGAGCCTGGGTTGGGCTTTCTTGAGAAACGGGGGGAAGGTGGCTGTGCTGCTGGCTCAGTAGGCAGGCTGAGCACGAATCTGGGGCCCACCAAAGCAGAGACACCTGCAAATAAGGAAAGTTCAGCTTCCAGAAACTCATCTGGAATCTCACAGTATAGAAATCTAGGAAGAAGCTCTTGGGATTTCGGCATACGTGAAGCTTTTGTGACCTTTTTAAAAAAATAAAATTGAGGGACCTGCCCGGTGGCATAGCACTTAAGTGCGCGCGCTCCGCTTCAGCAGCCTGGAGTTTGCAGGTTCGGATCCCAGGCGCACACTGACGCACTGCTTGTCAGGCCATGCTGTAGTGGCATCCCATATAAAGTAGAGGAAGATGGGCACGGATGTTAGCCCAGGGCGAATCTTCCTCAGCAAAAAGAGGAGGATTGGCATCGGATGTTAGCTCAGGGCTGATCTTCCTCACAAAAATAAAAAAAATAGAATTGAATTTGCGTCACATATGGGGGTGGGGTGCACTAAGGGCACTTGGGGCTTCTAAGGGGAAAACTATGCAGCTTTTCTTGGGCCTCACCCCTTGGGAGAAGGGGCAGTGGTGGGACCTGAGGGCGAGGGGGAGCTGGAATCCGGGGTGATGCGGGTGTTGTTGGCAGCCTGAACTGCATGGAGTGGAGCCTCCTGCCCCCTGCCACAGAGGAGATGGCGATGCAGACGTCTGTGGTGAAGGGTCGCTTCATGGGGGACCCCTCGCATGAGTATGAGCACACCCAGCTGCAGAAGGTGCACGAGGGCGAAAAGGTCTTTGAGGAAGAAGTGGTGGTGAGTGAAGGAGGGCCTGAAGGAAGAGGGCCTGGGCCAGCCCTAGCCCAGTAGAAACTCTGGCGGCAACAACATAACACACAGCTCCAGAGCCACAGGGTGGAGGGTGGATGGGCAGCTCTTGTGGGAGCCTGGCTCTGGGGCAGGGGCTGGGAAAAGGGGTCTGTGCTGTGCTCTAGGGTAAGGGAATGTGCACAGGCTCTTATATGTTTGTATCAATTTTTATCTTACTAGATAATACATCCACACGGTTCAAAATTCGAAGGTACAAAAAGGAATATAGTAAAGTTTGCCTCCCAGCCCTGTCCACCAGTCATCCAGGCCCTCTTTCTGGGGCACATGAATGTAATCTTTTTGCGTGTGTGTTGTGTCCAAATCTTGCTACTCAAAGCGCAGTCTGGATTAGAAGCATCACCATGCCCTGGGAGTTAGAAATGCAGAATAATCGGTAACATCAGGATCTGCATTTTAACACATTCCCAGGGGATTCGCATACACATTCTAGTGTGAGAAGCTCTGCTTCCAGAGATGTTTGATGCGAATACAAGCTCAGCAAATACCTTACCTCTACATACAGTCATGTGTTGGTTCACAATGGGAATACGTTTTGAAAAATGTGTCGTTAGGCAATTTCGTCATTGTGCGAACATCATAGAGTGTACCTACACAAACCTAGATGGTGTAGCTTACCACACATATAAGCTAATGGTACTAATCTTATGGGACCACCATCGTGTATGCTGTTCATCACTGACCGAAATGTTATGCGGCGCATGACTGTAGTCTCTTTTTATCTTAAAAAAAACTAAAACAAATGGCAGCACGTTATGCACACAGTTCTGCACCTTGTTTTTTTCACCTAACAATACATTTTGGAGATCTTTCTTTCTCAGTACCTTAAAGAGCCTCCCATTCTTTTTACCATTGTGTGAATGTACCATAATTTAACCAGTGTCTTATTCATGGAAATGTAGGTTTTCACGTTTTAGCTCTGACAAGCAGGGCCATGATGAATGACCTTGTACAGACGTCATTTCCAATGTGTGGAGTCTATCTGAAGGATCAATTCCTAGAAATGGAATTGCTAGGTCAAAAATAAAGAGCCCAAGTTTTGAAACTAGACAAACTCAGAATTCAAAGTCCAGCCTCTGCACTCGAGCCTAGGTGATGCAAAAAGTCTGGCTCCAGGTCTGTGATGCCTCAGCTGCAACCCCTGCCCTTCCCACCTGACAAACTTAACTTTCCCTCAGTTTTATTTTCTGTAAAATTGGGATAATTATATTTACTTAGCAGGCTTGTGCAGATTAAATGAGGTGACATATTTAAGGCCCCTGGCCTGGGCACTTATTAAGTATTAGTTTCCATCTCCTCCTTTGCAGACAATTCTGGTAGGCAGCCCATGGAAAATAGGTGGCCGAGTGACTCTAGGGACTCCTGGTGACATGTTTTCCTTGTCACATGCGGCTTTTTCCTAAACTGAAGTCCTTTAGTTTAGGGTTGCCCTTGATATTGATGGTAACCAAATTTCATCTGTGTAGAGATATTATAATATGCGGTGATGCTTGAGAAATAGTATTAAGTCAAAGAGCAGGATATGAAACTATATAAAATTTTGCTTTAAATATATACATAGAAAAAAAGAATGGAAGGAAGTATATGTTATCAGTGACTGTCTTTAGGAGGTGGGATTATGAGTGGTTCTGATTTTCTTAGGTATGTGTAAAATATTTCTATATTACCAAATATTCTACAGTAAGCATGATTGCTTTTGTATTTTAAAAAGGCAAAATAAGCAGCACTTAAATATGATGATAGGATGGTATGTTTCTGGACGGGCACATAAGAAACTGTTAACAGTGGTTGCCCCAGTGAGGGCAATTGGGGCACCAGGGATGGGGTGAGAGAGACTGCTTTTTTTTTGGAGTTTTAAATATTGCACCACCAGTATGTATTACCAATTTAAAAAAGAAAGAAAGATGGGGCTGGCCTGGTGGCGTAGTGGTGAAGTTCACGAGCTCCACTTTGGTGGCCCAGGGTTCACAGGTTTGGATCCTAGTTGTGGACTGACGCATCACTCAAGCCATACTGTGGCGGTGTCCCACATACAAAAATGGAGGAAGATGGGCACAGATGTTAGCTCAGAGCCAAGCTTCCTCAGCAAAAAGAGGAAGATTGGCAACAGATGTTAGCTCAGGGCCAATCTTCCTCACCAAAAAAATAAAAAAATAAATAAATAAAAGAGAAAGAAAGAAAGAAAATCTTGATGGGAAAGACAGGGAGGGCTCGCTTAGCCAGTGATTTTCCATGGACCTGGCATCTACACTGTGGTGACCCACGTCAGATGGTCATGCCCTTGGACCAGGGGTGAGTGGGTACAGTGCCCTGACAGGATGGCTCATCTCCTGTCTTCTCAGGTCCAGATCAAGGAAGAGACCCGCTTGGTGTCCATCATTGACCAGATTGACAAGGCTGTGGCTGTCATTCCCCGAGGCGCCCTCTTTAAGACTCCTTTTGGACCCATCCATGTCAATCGGACCTTTGAAGGTGAGTTCTCTGGGGCCTCTCTCAAGGGCAGGAGGGCGTCTCTTCCCAAGCATAGTCAGACACATGTCTAGGAGTCCAGGGAAACCTGCCCACTTCCTCAGAGAAGGAATAGTTGTGGCCACATCACTTGGGAGGATGGCCCAATGGCCTGGCATGGGTGGTTGGCAAGGGCTACCTGGTCACTGGACAGTGACTCTTTTCTGCCTGAGGGTGGGAGAGCATTTGGCTATCTGGGGCCCAGGGCTTTGCATGGGTCCCTGCCTCTTCCCACCTTCCTCCTCTTTGGTTCCTCCTTATTGCAGGATCTGGGCCAAGTTTGGGCTGAGGGAACATTACTGCCTTTTCTTCCTTCAGTTCTCTGTGGTCCCCTCCATGTGGTCCCCATGCACAGAGAAAGGGGGCTGTGGGGTTTGGCGCTGACCATCCCTTCCTACCTGCTATCTCTTTTTAGGACTGTCCTTGTCCGAAGCCAAGAAGCTCAGTTCCTACTTCCACTTCAGGGAGCCTGTTGAGCTGAAGAACAAGACCTTGCTTGAGAAGGCCGACCTGGACCCCTCCCTGGACTTCTTGGACTCCTTGGAGCATGACATCCCCAAAGGTAACAGTCTATTACTTCGAGGACACTGGATTTGCCCCTAAGTCAGAGCAGTGGGCCATGCCTCCTGCCACTCTTCTCTGAGAGTGGAACCAAGGGCCTGGGTGGGCATTGGTGGTTCACTGTAGGCCCTTGAGGGTGGGGCTTCCCCAGGGCCCAGTACAGGGCTCAGGTCATAGCAAAGAGTTGGTAAATGTGTGTGGACAAAAGGAAGGATTGTCTTCCATATGCTTCCACAGACAGGAAGTCTCTCAGTGTCTCTTTTGATTTTCCTATCAATCATGGATGGAGGCAGGTTGGGAATCTTCCCCCAAACATCTCTGAAAACACCCCTGAAGATACTAGCCGTACATATGTCTCAACTGTTAGTTTTGGGGTTAGATCCAGTGCTTGGCACACAGCTGGTGCTCAGTGAGTGGGTGCTGATTGACTGACTAGCTAACCACTTGCTAAGGAAATGAGTTCTGTCCATTTGCATCCTGCTATGTGTGTGGTACTTTTTAATCTTAAAACGTACAGCTTCAGAGGCTTTCCTGTACTTCAGGGCCCAGGCACACACCCAGGCACACACCCAGCACTTGGTGGTGGGGTCACAGAGACCCCATTTCCTTCCCCTGAGCCTCGCCAGTACAGAAGAGCGTGTCCTGGGAAGAGGCTCTTGCTTGGATGCTGTACCCAGGACAGGTGCCAGGCTCTGGGAAATTGGGGGCCAGACCCAAGGCACTGACTCAGTGCCCCTGCTTCTTTCCCGCCCCACGCAAACATGTTCTGTGAACTGGAGGGGTCTGTTGTTGATGATGACAGTGACAATGATAATGATAATAACAACTCATAAAAGCAATGACACTGCTTATTGTGTGCCAGGCACTGTACTCAGCCCTCTCCCTGCCTTATTTCATCTTAATCTTCACAGCCAACCTATGAGGTAGATACGATTATCATCCCCATTTTACAGATGAAGAAATAGAGGTTCAGAGAGTTAAACCCAAGGACACAGTAAGTGTTCGAGTGCTAGACTCCAGGGCTCTGGCATGAACTGTGGTGTCAAGTAGATGGTGTTTCCTTTTAAGTGGCAGTGAGAACAGCAGGACAACAGTCACCCCAACCCCTAGGGGAATACTTCTGAGGAGCAACGAGCCACTCTGTCGGACTGGAACTCAGAAGGGAGTGGGATGGCAGGGGTGGTTCAAGTCCAGGGCTCTGGAATTAGATAGCCTGGGTTGGAATCAACCACTTACTAGCTGCGTAACCTTGGGTAAGTCCCTCAATTTCCTTGTGCCTCAATTTCCTCATTTCTAAAAGGAGAAGAATATTTTCCACCTCACTGGGTTATTATGAGAATTAAATGAGTTAACATGTACGAAATGCTCATAACGGTGCCTAACACATAGTAAGGACTCAAATAAAGATTAATAAGGCCTTACAGGTGGGTTGGGCTGGCCTGGGAGGGCCTAGAAGGCCAAGGGGTAGGAGGCCTAGACCAAGGCAGTAGGCACACCTGGTGGCTTGTGAGCAGGTCTGTGATAACAAGGCAGTGGTGCACGGATGGATGGGGAAAGGGCAAGCCAGGGATCTGGAGGCCACTTCAGGGCTACTGCAGTGCCCCAGGGGCCAGATGATGGGTCCTGAGTGGGTCAGCGCTGCCAGCAAGGAATGGCTACTCTGGCCTCCACCACAAGGGGGAGCCCAAGTCAAGCCTCCTTGAGCATAGAAAGGGGCTCCTGGACCCGTGGGGAGATAAAGAAGGTTTACAGGGGCTGGGGCATTTCTCATCCATCAGGCACACTTTCCAGACTCCTATTATCTCCTCCAATGCTGTGCTCCCAGCCTGGCCAGGAGCCGGAGGGGGCTGCACATCCCCGGTTGATAAATGGAGTCAGGAACCCTGTGGTGGTGGGACCCAGCGCCAGGGGCTCAGTGGTGGGCTGAGAAAAGTCTTCTTAATGTCCCTAATCTGGGGGCAGCAGCCCTGCCTCCCTGATTCAGGGTGTGGCTGGAAAGCTCTGCTGGGTGCTGACTTCCGAGCCTTCTCACACCCAGCTGGATGCTCCAGGGCGGGCGGAGGAGGCCCTCCCTCCACAGTGCTGCGTGATTAGGAGGGCTCACACAAGAGCACCTTCTCCCCCTTAGAGCCTTGTCCTCTGTGCAGTGCGAGGGGCGAGGAGGGTGCTAGACCAAAGCCGGGCCTAGATGGGGTGTAGGGACCCAGCGAAGTCTTCCTAAAGGAACCCTATCCACCCTGTCTGCTCTGCCATTTGGAATAAGGGGACACAAGAGGCAGCTGTCTCTCCTGCAGCAGAGTATGTAAGTTATGGAGCTTTGGGGGTCTTCCTAAAGGATGCTGGGGCCACAGTGATGTGTCCAGTTGGCAAGTGAATTCATCAGGCCCCTGGGAGGAACAGGATCTGGGCCTGGGAGGTGGGTGAGTTGCAGTGGCCTGAGGCCCAGACATCTTGCCCTACTGGTGGGCCTCAGGGCTGAAGGACTCACTGACGTTCAGCATCCCAGTCCACCCCTGCATGTTGCTTTGTCCTCAGTGCTGGAGCCTTGGGAGCTGAGGGCTTCTGGTATCTCCTGGGCATGTGGGCCTGAGGGGAGGGATGCTCCTGGCCTGACCCTGGGAAACCTTACAGCTTCTGGGCCTCCAGCTCCCTTCCTCCCAGATCCATCACCAGAAAGCCTCCAGGAAGTCCGGCCCAGCTTTTTCTCACGATGGCTTGGCGGGGGCCGTGGTGTGAGGGTGGAAGTGTGGATGGTCGGGGGAGAGCAGACACTCTGATTTTGCTTCCAGACTCCCTTCCTCATCTGCCAGTCAAAGAGCAGAAGGAGCTGCTGGGAGGCTGCCCTGCTAGGCAGACAGCAGCCGGAATGGGCTGGGCTGCTAAGTGAGGCCAAAATCCTTGGGACACCAGCACTGGCTGGAGAGATGGAATTTGGCCGCTATTTTCTGCCGAGGTAGGATCATTGTTTCCTTTCTGGGTCTGAGGCAGTTGTTCAGGGGGACTTCATGTCACCTGTGAGCAGGTATGGTTTAGGTTGGCCCTGTCCCTGGGACTCCTGCTCTCTGTGCCCATGGAGGTGGGCCAGTTGCTCGGCAGTTTGACCCTGGGCCAGCCTTGGCTGAGGAGAGGATAGGGAGGGATATTGCCTGGGCCACTCATGCCCTTCTAAGCTGTCCTGTCGTGTCCTGCGGTCTGCTGAGTTTTGTGGGAGTGGGTAGCTTTGGGGGCAGAACCATAGTCCTGGTGGGCGCAGGGCAACAGCTAAGAGTTCTCTGAGCTTGGGCTGCAGCCAGGTGAGACATATGGAGCACCAGGTCAGGAGGCCAGATTTCTAGGTAGTACTCTGCCATTCAATGCTCCTTAACCTTTCACTCCATCAGCAAATAGCCACTGAGCAGCCACTATGTGCCAGGCACTGGGGATGCCGTTGTGAACAAGACAGATGCTGTCCTTGCCTCACAGAGATCTGGGAAGATCAAATGAGACAGAGGATGGGAAGTAGAAATGTGAAATAGAAGCTGCCTCAAAAACAAAGTCAGTGGTGTCCTGGGAAGCAGAGAGGGGCAGGCAGAGCTGAGACGGAAGCAGAGCGCAAGGGGCAGAGGGCAGAGCTCCTGTCCTTGCTCCGCCTCGGGCTGGAGCTGGCAAACCTCAGGAACGGCCAGGCACAGGGCCTCTGGGGTTCCAGCACAAGCAAGCTCTCAGCAGCAATGCCCAGTTCAGGCAGCAGAGGGCAGCAAGGGGCCTCCCTGCCTAGAAACCAGCCTTTAAAAGGTGGTGGTCGTGGTGGCTGGGGAGGGGATGGGGGACGGAGAAGACAGGAGCATTGGAGAGTGGTGGGAACAAGGGGCCCAGGATCTTGTCGGTGTGTGCAGGTGGCTCCTCCCACCCAGTTCCTTGGCAGCCTGGCTGACAGGTGCTCAGCCTTCTGGACCTGGGCCTGGCCTGGTCCAGACAGGCCATCAATTAGACAGGGCACTCTTCTGCCTCTCGCCCCACCCCGCCAGACTCTACGTGGTTTGACCCTACCTTGTCGTTCTGGTGTGTGTGGGGAGAGTGGCCGCTCTGAGAAGGTACCCATGCCATTTCTGTGGTGTGACAAGTTATGTGGTGCCAGTCTGAGAAGAGGGTTTAAGCTATCTGCTGCCACTGGACAGCCCTGATCCCCAGCCTGGCCCACTCTCCCCCTCAAACTTAATATAAGAACTTTGTTGCCTTTCTTCCTGGAGGGCAGGGGAATGTAATTATGATTAGCATACCCTAGCCTGAGGTTTCCACACTAGCAAGGTGGGTGAGACCCCAAGGGCCCAGGAAACCCAGGAGGACTTCCTACTGATTGCAGGAGGCCCCATTCCCGATTTACCAGCTTGTTCCCCACCACATCTTCAAAAAACAGAGCTTGTGGAGAAAAGTGGCTGCCAGGGGGCAGGAGGGGAGGTTTGGGGAGACTTGGGGGAGACCAGGGGCTGTGAACTGAAACACAAGGGCCGCAGGAGGCTGCTTCCCCTGGAGTCCTAGAGGCGGCAGCAGCAGCTGGCTGGGCCCAAGCCTTTCTAGCAGTTGCAGTAAGACAAGCAGGTGAAGGTGACAGCAAGTGCCTGGCTTCTCAGGTAGATGCTACGTGACTCCTGGCACGTTGGGAGTCTGTGTGTTTCCTGGGCGACCAGCTGAGCCAGGGACAAGGAGAGGACAGGAGTGTGACAGGAATGCAAGGGAGGGAGGGAGGCAGTGTTGTTGGCTGGCGTGCCCCTCACATGCCGCTTCTATACTCTGCCAGCACTCTTAGGCCTGCTTGGCACTGCCCCCTGCCCTGGTGGGGTCACTGCATTTCTCTAGCATCCTTGACAGTTTCTCCTTGCTCTCTAGGGCTGGGCGAGGGGGAAGCCCCTGCTGATGAGCCTGGGCCTCCTCATCCACTGGAGGCAAGAGGTGGCCAAACCCTAGGTGGGCAGCTGGTATGAGGGGTCAGGACCCAGCCCTTGCCCAGGGGTGTGCCAAGGTGCTAGCGACAGCGACGTGATGAGAGTGGTCTGGTTGGGGCACTCCAGGACTCCATTTGGCCCAGGCAGGCTGCAAGCTGCCCTCTCCGGGTAGGCAGAGAGGAGTGAGGCAGAGCGTGACCTTTCTTAGTTCAAAGAGGCTGTGTGGCCAAGGGCAGGGAGGGACTGTCTCCAGATGATCCTCTGGGCACTGGTGGGGGTGACTAAGGGGGGCTAGGGAATGTCCCTTCCTGGGGTCTGTGCTTCTGGCTAAACGCTGAATGCAGCCAACTGGGAACACTTAGTTCTGTTACATCCCACTCCCATTACCCCTAAGCAATGTTTTCTGGAATGAGTGACTAGGAAAGTGACAGGCTAGGGCCTCTAGAACTCTGAGGGCCTCGGGTACCCAGAGAGACAAGTTGTAGGAGCCAGGGGAAATACTCCCCCCTTCTCTGGCCAGGAAAGGCACCCCCTCTTAGGTAGTGCCCCAGCCAGAGCTCTGGTAACCCAGGGACACTCTTCTTTCCTCTTGATGCTGTCTGGCTGGCACTGTGTGGGCCTGGGGGAGTGGAACCAAGCCCACACTGGCTTCCACTTCATCATCTCATGCATGGGTGGTGGCACTTGCAGGCCACTGCAGAGTGCTGAGATGGGCTCCAAGCCAGCCTCTCTGTAAGCGGCCAGGGCTAGCTGACCTACATGCACCCGGAAAGCTCTGGCTTTGACCTGGGCAGGTGACAGACCCTGAGCAGGGTTGAGCTGCCAACAGGGCCAGGGGTTCCTGGCCGTCACATCTCTTGGATGCAGGGTGGCCCCCTGTGGGTGGGACTGAGCTGTGAGGCTGCTGGGTGTGGAGTGACCAGGGTGGGCCATGGTTGGAGGAGGCCTGTGGGAAGCTGGGGCAGTGGGAGCCAAGCAGCCGGGCTGAGCTGGCAGCCGATGAAGGCCTCAGCGAAGCTCAGTGCATCACAGGCTGGTCCAGCACCAAAACCTTCAAAGCATTTGCCTTTCTGGCGGGGCCTGGAACAGAGCTGCGGCTGGGCCAGGGAGAGGCCTCAGCGCGCAGGGGAATAGAAGCTCCAGATCTGCATCCAGAGGCGATTTTCCCAGGCTCCTTCCTCCCACACAGCAGCTCCCTCCCTCGGTCTGGAGCTGGATCAGGCCCTTCCCACCAAGTCCTCAAGGCTGCACAACTCAGCCCCAGGCTGGGTTGCTCGTCTAGGGAGCAAAATCTGGGACAGACAAAGGCTCGTTAGCTGCACTCAAGTCCCCTCCAGCCAAGACAGCTCCCAGTCTACCAGCTGCCAGAGAGGGCTATTGAGCTGGGAAACCTGAAACGGCCAAACTTCCATGTGAGCCCCTGGTCAGGTCTACTCCTTATCAGAGCAGAGGCTTCTGGGACTGGGGAAGAGAGAACAAAATGGCAAGCAGGGGCAAATGGCACTAGGACTGAAGGTCACTGGTGACTACCCCTGGTTTAGGGCACGGGAGCCTGGAGTCTCCCCTAGTCTGGCCCCAACTCCCCTCTGCCTGTGGATTCAGCTTCCTCCCCCACTCAACCTTTAACTAGATTTGCTGACAGGAACAAAACGGACTGGTTTGAGTTTCACCTCTTTTCATTTCCTTTGCCCTCCCTCTGGAAGTGGTTTTAATGAGCAGTGAAATGGCTAAGAGGCAATCAGGAGGAGTAAAGCACAGGGATAATTAAATTGTCTTCCCTTTTCCCAGTGGAACCTTAGCACCCAGGCCTGGTTGCCCAAGGAGCTGGGGGCCTCTGCATACCCAGCAGAGCTCCAGCTCCAGAGCACCCAGGCCTTGCCTCCTGCCCGCCTCCTCCCAGGGTCCTGGAGCATCCAGATGGAGAGGGGCAACGCCCTGGTGGTCCTGCGCAGCCTGCTCTGGCCAGGCCTTACCTTCTACCACGCTCCCCGCACCAAGAACTGTGGCTACATCTACGTGGGCACCGGTGAGAAGAACATAGACTTGCCCTTCATGCTGTAGGAGAGGGCCAGCCAGGGATTGTTTTGTAGAGTCTAAACATTATTTTCATAAATTTCAGTCAATTTGGTCTGTTCTGTCCTGCTGCTTCCCCTCATCTCCACCTCCATCTGGTATCCAGGTTCTGAGGAGAGGACCACTGAGCTGGAAGACCCAGCTCTAAAGCAAGTGGCAGAGGGTTGGAATGTGCTAATGAGAGAGATGATGGTGGGTGGAAATGGCAGCGGGAGAAGGTGACAGCCAGAAGCCCTTTGAGGAAGGCACTCTCTTGGACTCAGATGAGAGCTGCATGTAGGCCAGGCAGCCCAACTCACCTCGTTGCAGCCCCCCAGGCTGAAGAGCTAACAGCTATCAATAAAGAGAATGGGAACCTGTTTGGCCCATGAACTCCCTCCAGTTGCATTCATATAGCCCATCACAAGAGCTCAGCAACTGGCTGGAAATGGGCTCAAGGCACCCCCCACCCCTTCCCAAGCAGTGAGCACACACACCCAGTGGGTGAGTACATGAGCCTGGTTTATGACATTCCTTTGGGCAAAACTCGTGTCCCCCAGCACTGAGCTCGGCCCAAGCCAGTCATGAGACCACAGCAGCTGCCAAGGGACCCAACTGCCCTGCCTGCCCCTAGCTCCCCGCACTGTTGCTGGGCAGGTCGAGGGCTCTGAAGTTGGTCCCACTGCCCCTCGTGTCCTTCATGTTGGAGGCGCGGGGCCGCCCTGGTGGGATGGGGTGGGAGTGGAGGAGGAGCTCTGGCCAGGTTCTCAGGAAGCCCTCAGTCAATGGTACAGCACCAAAGGCCTTCTTGAGTAGGAGATGTTGTCTTTCAGGAGGGGTGACCCGACAGCCATGCGCACCTTGTTCCAGCGGTGGCCTTTATTGTAGATGGGCTTGACAGAGCGGGGAGACCAGCGGGTCAGGTACCTGTACAGGGAGGACCAGGGGGTGGCTGTGAGGCTTGGGGCCCCTGCTGGAGCTGGGAGAGTGGGTACTGCCTTCTTGGGCCAAAGCTGTGGTTGGCCAACCAAACCCTTTCACCAGTTTTCCTTTCTCGAGGAGTAGGGGCTTTTCCTGGGAGCAACCGCTGAGTGTGCTGTAAACAGATGGGCTGGGCTCTTGCTGCCGCAAGCGTGTGTGGCCAGGGTCAGGCAGCCCAGGGCCACGCTCCCTTGATCTTTATGAGTTGTCAGTGTTTGTGTGTATTTGCTGGGGGAGAAGGCGGAGGAAGAGGCTGCTCGGAGAGCAGATCACTCCTCTCTGGCCTCAGCCATGGGGAGAGGAGAGGTTGATTTAAGGGCCTGGAGGAATCCTTCCCTCTTCCCTACTTGGCTCACTCTGCCATCCCAGCCTTCAGGGAGCTCCCCTGGGCAGCCAAGACTGCTGCAGGACCCCAGCCCATCACCCAACCTATGACGGAGGCTAAGGGAGAGAGCCTGTGGGTGCAAACCTAGCCCAGGAAGGTTCCTGTAAGTAGCAGGGGGGTGAGGAAGGATGGCTGCCGCCCACAGACCTTTAGCCTCCTTTGGGGATGTCCAGGGCCCTGATAGTTCCTGGAAAAGTGGCTCATGCCGGCTGGGATTGGGGTTTACTCCATCCAGAATGAAACTTGGACCCTGTCCAGAGAGGCCCACCCTTCGTCCTGAAAGCTCAGCCACGGCAAAGGCCAGGCTCCTCCCCTGCCTCCACTCTAGGTTGGGGCTCAACCCAGCTGCCTCTAGAGACTCTCAAATGAGGGTTTTTTAATTAAAAAATTAATAACCTTCACTGAAAATTTTTAGATAAAAAATGATTGCTCATTTATACATTTCAACTGCGCTCCCCTGGACCTCGGTCTTCTGCCCTCAGCCCTGTGCAAAGGGGACAGCTCTGAGAGGAAGTAAAAAGCCATGGGACGTGCTGGCCTACACTCAAGTGTGCGGTGGGCACGCAGGGGAGTGCTGTCGAGGTCAGTGTCCCCAGCAGGGAGCCGTGTGTGGAGTGAGCTGGCCTCAGGGACTGCCTTTTCTGTGGCTGGCGTTGCGGGGCAGCAGAAGCCTACAGGTAAAGGGAGGGGAACCTGGCAGGCCCCATGCCGGCACCTCCCGGTCTTCAGACGGCGGCCGTGGGAAAGGAGTGCTCGTGGATTCAAGGACCCCAGGAGGTGCCCAGGCTGGCCGGTTTCTCCAGAGCTGCTGTCCTAGGGCTGTACTTTCCCCCCTGCCCTGGAGAGCCCTGAGAGAAGCTGGGCTTCAGCTAGCCCTGGGCCCGATGCCTGTGCCACAAAGAGCAGCCAGCTGGCAGGGCAGGGGAGTTGGGGGGCCTGCAGTCAGCTCTCTGGGAACACTGCAGCTCTAGGAAGAACCAAGGCTCTTTCCTAAGTGAGCTCCTTCCTACCTCTCCTGAGCGGGCGGGGAAGAAGGAAGCGTGGCTCCCCCGGGGCCCCAGCAGAGCGTGGGCCAGCGCATGGCAGCTCAAGGACCTCTGGATGGAATCATAAAGTCCCTTGCAAGGGAATCAACCTCCCTCATAGCCAGGACTCTGCTTCCCCCCTAAGATGGCCTTTTGCAACCGAAGAATCCCCACACGTCATCAATCCTGTGTCACGTTAAAGGACACCGGATATATGCGAGGGAGCCTGGCCTCACTTCAAAGGCCTGAGGGCAGGATGGCTTATGTCCGTAGGCCTGCTGCTGTCTCTTAACAAGTCAGGGTTGGGGGTGGGGTGGGCTCAACCCCAAAATGGTCCACAGCATGTTTGGGAGACAGGAAGAGGTTAATATGTGCTGTTGCCCAATGGCTGCTGGCAGATGGCCCAGCTAGCAATGTGGGAGGTGCAGGTGGAGATGCGCACAGGGCCAGGGTGCTGGCGAGGCATCAGTGAAGACCTAGCTCTGGCCCTGCACCCCCAGCCCAGCACTCTGTGGCTGGTATCTGCCTGGCCTCCCACCTTCCATGCCTGGCTTCTGTTGGGGATCAGCCTAGGAGGTTTGCTAGGGGTGGGGTGTCTTGCTTTGCTTCAGCCGTCTTTGGTGCCCTACAAAGAGCAGTTCCAGTGGCAGCTGGACAAGCTGAAGGAGGGAGGGGCCACTGATAGGGGAGAACAAGAAGAAACACCAAAATCAGTTTTATAGACTCGTATCTACAATCAAAAAGGGGGTAATATAGATCTAAGAGTATGTGAGTGTGGTAATGTCAGAGATGGGGGAGGGAAAGGAACTCACAATAGGATGGCTGTTTGAGTGTTGGACAGGAATCTGCTCCTATACCAGAGGGAGCCACTGTGCTTAGGCTGAAAGGCAGAATGATTGACTCTAGATTCTAGGGGCCTTCCTCTCTTCCTCTATAAAACCTCAGGACCTCCTGGGCAGCTGTGCAGGATGTTAACTGCACAACTCTAGGGAGCACCATTTACAACCTAGTCTACATGGATGCTGCCTTGCAGTTTTGCAGTGTACGACTTGCACAGCTACATAGAGTGGCCCTACCCCAGAGAGCCCTTCCATTTGTAAGGCCTCATCTTGCCCTTTAATAACCCTAGTGCTCGGATACTGAAAGTTTGTAGAAGTACTCTGACATTCCCATAGCAACCCTGTATGATGTCATAAACAGGGGATTAGCACATTCTAATGCCCAACCAGCAGAGCTTCTTACCCTCCTTGCCCCTGTGCTAAGTGCCCTACTGGGGAGGGCAGAGGAAAGAGGCTGAGGCCAGCAGGGGAGGGTGACAGAAGCGTGCACAGTATCAACTGCAGCAGCAGTGGGACTGATGGGGGTGGGTGCTCAAGCTGGAGGGATGGAACGGACAACCAGGGAGCACTCGAGCTTTCCTGAGCTGTGGGATGAGCTCCAGTAAATGGCTTCCCCAGAGGAATACAGTGAGACTGAGGGCCTGCAGAATGCATAGGGTGTTGACACCCAGGGTTGCTTACCGGTTGAGCTGGGGTTTGCTCTTCGGAACGAATCCTTCAGGAAGCCGAGGCCTATGATTTGGGAATAGACCTGAGTGGAGGGAAGCATATAAGGGGATGGTGTCTGCAGCTCCCTCTGCAGCTCTTGGGGGCCAGAGGGAAAGCCCACCCAAGTGGGTAGAGGGCTGGCACTGGGGGATGAATATAATGAAGGCTCTGGATGTCCATTTCTCTTCCTGGAAGAGCTGGAACATGGGGCAGCAGGGGGGAGGATGGCACGTATAGCCCTCTGCCCCTTAGCCCCGAGGGGGCCTTCTACCTGCTCGGTGGGCCATCTTCACACACTCCTCAATCTTGCGGTGCTCTTCCTGGCACAGGCCTGTGATTTTTCGGGGCAGCATGCCTCCATGAGGCCGGATAAACTGACTGAGCAGCAGAACATCCTAGTGGAAACAGAAAACAGGAGATGAGGGTCAGTTGAGTGGATGTTTGATGCTGGGGAGCCAGGGCCGCGTGGCCTACAGGGGAGGCTGTCGTACCCTGGCACTCCAAGAGGCTGATGTTTCCCTTGGGAAATGACCTGAGCCCACTCCCTTCACACAGAGCTTTGCACACTGGTCTGCTACCTTCATCCTAACAAAAGTTAAATCGCAACTTCGTAAGATTTTCTGACCGCATTACCAACCCCAAGAGCTCCCAGCTCTTCCATGAGATAAAATCTTTTGACAGACTAGAGAACAGAAACTCTTTGGAAGTGTTAACCATCTATCATGTACCTGAAGTATCTTTCCTGGTGACGAAAGGTCTGTTGTTATTCTCGGGTGAGGCAGAGGGTATGTCATCTATTTCCATACAGGAGGGAAAACCTGTACTATTTCTGCGCCCAACACCTACATGCCACAGGCCAGAATACACACAGACAGCCCCCTCCACCTTCTGCCGTGCCCTCGGAAGTGCTAGTTGGCGTACAAACTGAGGAAGAAGGGAGCAGCGTTGTGAAGTTAAATCCCACATCTTCGAAGCCCCCTGTGAGCAGTTGTGAATGGCTTCTTGGGCTTCCTTTGGTCCATCAGACTGCTTTGGACAAGTCAAGGAAACAAGGATAAACAGGAGCCAGAACCAAGATAAGAGACCACTTCCCCTCCCAGCTCTCACAGGATGGCTGAGGGGGTTAAATAAAAGCCACCATCTCCCATCCCGCCCACCCCCAGGGGCCTGGCGTGCCATTCTTAGCAGTCATGTTCCACAGCCCGACTTGCTGCCCTGGCAGGCGCCTTGCTGTATAACCGCAGATTTGTTTTAATCATTGGACGGCTCCTGAGGGACCCAGGCCCCCAATTCCCACCCCTGTAATCTTCAGAATCGGATGAAAAGAACTTGGATTGGATTATCCAGGGCTAATAAACTGGGCTCACACCCCAGCCCCCCGACCGTAGGCTGCCAAACAAGCTGACAGCTCTGTGCAGCTCAGGCTAACGGCGTCCTAAGTGGAGGGGGTGAAAGAAAACAACTTTAGCCTTTACCTCGGAGGGGATTAGATTTCTTCTGCTGGATAAACAGAGCCAAGTCCATTTCCTGGAAACGGCTGGTAGGAAGAGTGCCCCATGGTGGCTGGGCAGGTGTGGGGTTCACCGCCCCATCTGCCGCTGGGATTCCAAGTATGCCCACAACCCCACTAACTTCCATGTCAAAAGAAGCTG